GCAAGGGTTTGGAAAGGATGGTGTTCCAAGTTCTGGCAGCGCCACCCAGGCCCCGCCAAGTCTGCAGAGGACCAGTCCCTACCTTTCCGCTGCTGCTCCGCCTCCCGAGGCGCAGGCTGTGGCCCGGCCGCTTCCTAAGGTCCCCGATGTCCTTCTGGCCGCAGCAGCAGCAGGCGCATCAGCGCCACCTGCACGATCCACCTCCCGGGCACCTGCAATGTCCAACCCCCACACATCACCGTCCATCGCTGCACCCCACCCTCCTTCCCCCATCGCGGGGACCAAGCACCCTCCGGCCCGGCCACTGCGATCCAGGGCATCCCCACCTCCAGGCCTCTGTGCCTCCGTCTCCCACCGCCTGGCACCGCACGGCTGGCTTCTGCTTTTCGGCGCAGCCTTGGCACAGACGGCCCCCAGGCCGCTGCAACCCACAGCCCGTGTCCTCCCCTCACAGCCCATGTCACAGCCTGTTTATCTGCGGATTTGTGGCGTCTGGGCGCACCCTGGCTGCACTAGCATCACCTGTTTCTGCGGGAATGGAAGCGTCCTGAGAGCAGGGCTGGGACCCCTGCCCACCACAGCGCCCCCTAGTGGCGCGTGGGGGACTCACACTGAACCCAGCCCCCTGCGCCCTCCAGCAACACCCCTCAGCACCGCCCGGCTTCCGAATCCCAACATTTCTCTCCTGAATCTCCACACCAGCTTCCTATCTGGTCTCTCCCAGCTGAAAACCTGCTAGAGGCTGCCCGCTGGCATCATGATGCCCATGGAGCATGGGGGCAAGGGCACCGCCCACTTCCCTGCACCATCCGCCCCCCACACATCCCCCCCCCCGCCCCGCCCGCCACCTACACACACGCCAAGGACGTGAATGTCTCTCCTGGCATGTTGAGGTCTCATTCCCTTCCCAGAAACTCCCCTTGGGGATATGGTTGGTTGACTGCTTTTAAAACTGAATCACTCTTAATAAATTAACGAAAATAACTCCGTAAAAACGCTGTTCACCGGTCCACGTCCCTCTGTTCCTCCCGCTGAGCGGCCCAGGCCCTGGTTACTAACGCGAGTCCTCCCTGGGGTGTCTGCTCCTCTATTTTCCCAGGAGAAGCTGACGCGCCTCAGGTTGTCTCATCTCACACACCCCCAACCCTACTAATAACTTTCTCTGGTCAGGACATTCTGTTCCATCTGTTCTAATACCACCAAGTGCAGACTGTGTGCTAGGCGCTGTGGAAGATGCCATTTAATCCTTACATTGATCTTAAAACGTGGTCTCCACTCCCTAGATGAGGGAGCTCAATTTCAGGGCGGGAAGGCCCTGCCCGTGGGGCCTGCTGCCCACCAGATGGCCGAGTCCAGTCCTGAGCTAAGTTGGCGGCCCCAATGCCCATGCTCCTTCCTCTCTGCCATCCAGCAGACCAGCCCCCCACACACACCCCGGATGGTCTCAACCAAGACACAAAGGCTGCGGTGTTCGGAGAGCGTTCCTTCCCAACGCCCCCACCCCCAGCTGCAGCGTGTTGGGAGCTAAACACAGCCCTTGAGAACGGAAAGGTCGCTTGGACAGAAGGCAGAGGTGCAGGGCGGAGGGAGCTTAAGTTGTCCTCACTCAGCTCTCAGCAGACACCCGCTTTAAGCCGTTCCTGAGGCCTTCCCGGCTACGGTGTCTTTGGCTTTGCTACTCCCAGGTCCTCCCGGCCCAACACGAACATACCTACTCGGAGAAAAACAGTGCATTTGGTGTGCGGGGCCCACCAGCAGGGGAGCACTTGGATGGTCACCTACCCGTCATCCCACGGTGTTTCTTGGGTATCTGTACGGTTTCAGACCCAGCTTTGTGCAAGACACAAGCTGGAGCTCAGAGCTCGGAGCTCCCAGCGTTCCCTGCTGCCGGACGACCGGGTCGCTTCAGGCCTAACTCCTGCCTGGCGTCAACGCGAGATCAATTCCCACAACAGCAGGCAGCTGGGCTGCACCTCCGCGACTGCGCACAGGGCGGCCGGCTCCCGGCTCCGACTCCTCCTCGCCTTTCCCAACGCCTCCCCTTTAGGTGGTCGCCTCCCCTTTAGGTGGGCTTCCATAAGCGGGCATCGAGTGGTGAATGCACGCTGGCCACTTGGTCACGGGCAGATCACTTGTTCCGTTTCCCCGGAACCTCTCCCGTGCTTAGCGTTCGGTCACCAAACTCGGGCACAAGGCTCAACAGGTCACTGCTGAAATGCTGAGACCGCCTTAGTTCAGAGATGGCAAACCGGTGCCCAGCGACTCCTTTGTCTAAATCCCAGCTTTTCTAAAAGGGTGTCCACCTCATGCGGACTTCCGCCTTTCCTTGAAAACGCAGACCTGACTGGGCCTGCCTGCCTGCAGGGCAGCAGATGGCCCTGAGCCGGGACCTGTGCCCATCAGGACCGACCTAGTGAAACAGGAAAGATTCAGACTCGGGACCACTAAGACCCAAAGGGGGTTACTGCCCACAGCTAACTAGTAACCGGCGTATCAGCCAGCCGGCCCAACTTCCTTTCTCCTTAGTAACGGCAAAACAAACAGGCCGACATGGCAAAGCACCGTGGTCTCCGATTATACATCCAAGTTCTACACAACCTCTCCTGGAACCTCCATTATTATGGGATGCATTCAGAGCTGTGAATTCCTTGCAGTTAACACCTCCCGTATCGAGGAAGATCACTAGTATGTACGAAACACCCAGTATGTGAGGGTAGGAGCCCGCTGGAGAGATGAAGGCCCAGCCCCACCTGAGAGTCCTCCTGCCCAGCAGCGTGTGGAACATTGGCCCAGATCAAGTTCTGAGCATGAAGGCCTACACCTACACACACACACCTACACACACATGTGCACACACACCTACACACACACCTACACACACACCTACACACACATGCACACACACCTACACACACTACACACACACAACCTACACACACACACTACACACACACACAACCTACACACACACCTACACACGCACCACACACACCCCTACACACACACACTACACACACACCCCTACACACACACACCCCTACACACACACACCTACACACACACACGCACGCGCGCACACACCTACACACACACAGACACACACACTCTTCCATACAGAGTAACATTCGGTGCAGGATATGCCAACAACTGGTTAACAATGTCTGAGGACTGAGCGTCAAGGGCAAAAAAGAGAATAATCCCTTTTTATCCATCTTTTTATGGTTTAGACTAGTAAATTGGTTGGTTTTCTTAACCATAAGCATGTTACATATTTTTTAAACATTTTTTTACAAAAACATGGGTGGACCCCTGGCCGGGTAGCTCAGTTGGTTAGAGCATTGTCCCAATACACCAGTGTTGTGGGTTTGATCCCCAGTCAGGCACATACAAGAAGCAACTAATGAATGCATAAATCAGTGGAACAAATCAAGTTTCTCTTTCACTCTCCCCTTCCTCTCTCTCTAAAATCAACTTTAAGAACTGAAAAAAAATGGGTGGGGGCAATACTGTATGGAAATACTCTGATTTCATCCCCAAAGTCCACAGTACCAATTCGGTCGACTAACGGGGGGAACCTAGTTACCCGGAGAGCTCCCGCTGCGTCTCGGACTTTGTGAGCAGAACCTGCAGGCACTGGCGGTATTCTTTCTGACTTAGAACTCGAGCAGCGATGTGTGAATCTGCAAACGTGAAAACCGCACGATTGCACGTCCGATGCTGCTTAAGTGTCCTTCTCATACCTCCACCCCCTTCTCCGGGAACCAGAGAGCCACCCACAGGGAGGCGCTGGGCACACGGCAGGGGCCACTCCTCCACTGTTCAGAACGTTGGGCAGCAGAGCAGCACTGTGGGAAGCAGACAGCTGGGGAGCAGTCGGAACGAGCCCCAGCTCCTGAGGTTCCCATCAGCTCTCAGCACAGCCCCCAAGGCACGGGCTGGTGTGATGTCATCCACGTTCTCAGGCCAAAAGCAATTTGCTTTCAATCTCATTTTACAGAGCAGATGATTCTTTAAATCTGCAAACTTTAATTGTACGTCACTGAGTTACTAATATAGCACATGACAGGTTTGCTTTTTGTGTGTGTTTTTCTTGAAAAATTTCTTAACAGAACATCAGAGCATTGCAACACTTTATTAAGAGTATTGGCTTTGAATTAGTAGCTGAAGTAACAGTTGCATGAAGCCAGGTTAGATGTACTGCATAATACTCATACTTGATTTATTGACATTACTTAGCAATTTATTGGACAAAGGTCAACTTTTTGTTTTTTATTAAGCACATTCCACAGTACAAAGCTGTCATGAATAATATCTGTACAATTTAACAGTTTCAATAGCTGTCCAGACACAAATTTATTTCAAACAGATAATTGGCAAACATAATTAATTACAAGTTAGAATTAGACTAAACCAGTGCTTTCAAACATTAATATAGCAGTAATTTACAGTTGCTCAATTATGGGTTAGCAAAATAAAGTCCAGAGTACGGCTGGGAATTATGACTATACTCCCAGAGTCAGGATTCCTTGGCTGCCAAAGTCCCTGCTATAATTTGGTAGGCACAATTCAAAGGTCGTGTGCATGTTCAAAGGCCATGATCTCCCAAGGAACAAGAACTTTATATTAAACATGCAAAAACAACAGAAAGTCCATTCGTTCACAATTGCCTCCTCCCCACCCGCCCCCGCCCCGGGCTCTCCCAGTCGTTCCGCTAGGAGCGCTGTAAGATGAAGAGCGTTAAAAGTTACATCACTTTCACAACCTCTGTCAAGCTTACAACATCTACCTTATGAATGGAGGCAATTTTTTTACACTGTGAGGCTCAATTTCTCAAGAACAGAAATTTAGTAATGTGGGAGGGAAGGATGTTTAAAAAAAGGAAAAAGCCAAGCCAACCCGATAAACAAATCACACACGCGTTGATCCCCACACCGTTCCCCACGCGAAGACAACACCGAGCCCAGGGACCTTCTGTCGGAGTAGTGTGCTTCCACGGGAAGAGGTTTCATCACCAGGAGGTTCTATTGGTCCTTTAAATGTTATTGACGTTCCTTGATCTTTGGACACAATGGCGAGGGGCAAATCAAAACCTAGTATGGAGCAAGGGGAAGGAGTGACAGCTGGGCGCTCCAGCCCTTCCCACGCAGTCAGCATGATCGAGCCATTAGCAGTCGGTTGCCGAGCACGCGAGAGCCTGTGAACCTGCCGGGGCCACAGCAGCCAACGCCCCCGGAGGCGACGGGTGGGATTGGTGAGTCTGAGGCTTTGCACCAGGTCGGAGTACCCTTCCGCTCGACAGGCCTCGGCACCAGCCTGACCTGGTGCGCGGACACCAGTTCACACGCGGGGCCTGCCACCGTCCCCACGAGCCAGATGCATGATTTCCGGGGCCCGTCAGTAGGGCCTTCCCGTTCTTCCCTGCCCAGGGTTACTAACGCACAGAATCCTGGTTTTTGACGGTGAAGTCAAATGAATACCATGGGAAGGGACCACTAGCACTCAGGAGTTCTCATGAGGAAAAGAACAAAAGAATTCTCAGGTACCTCTCTATTGTATATACTACCCCACAAAGAAACATTCTGTTAAACTTTAGAAATTACATTTTAAAACAAGATTCCCATTAAAAACACCACACACACACACACACACACACACACACACACACACACACGACAATGACAAAATAAAAACACCGTATGAATACTGCAGGAGGGTCTAGGGAATCCACAGTAACCCTGGCATCGGTTTCTTGAGCCCAGCCCATGGCTACGTGGGAACACACTCTGTATTAGTGTCTCAGGCACGGGGCCGACTCCAGCAACCTTGAGGTTAAACTGTTATGTACATCATATCTACATGCGGGTACAGTATTTAAATTAGGAGGCAAGCACATGTGTAAAGGTGTTCCTCTACCGAGTATCAGGAGCGGGTTGGGTACAAAGAACAGTTAATAAAAGAAAAGAGCTATATTACCTGTCGGGAGATAATATAACCGGCTTACAGTTCTTTAAATTAAGAGAAATGATACCAAAAGGAAGTAGAATCCAAAAAATATTACTAAAACAATCCAGAGAAATTTTTCCATTGTCCAACATATTCCTAATACAAGTCAGAATTCAGAATGATGTGGACAGTCAAAAGGAAACTTCTGCAAAGGAAAGCCCTGGGCATTCTGGGTAGGTGTTTGGCACCCAAAATCTCACCAAAGAATGCTGTTTCTTAGTAGCAGACCAAAGTGCAAAGCAATATAAATTAGAGGTCAAGTCTTCTCTGTCGATTTACTTCTGGGAAACAGACTGGATGTTCCTTTTATCTGACCAATTTACATCTGAAGCATGAGATCTGTTCACTGATGGGGAGGAGATGGGCTTCGGTCCTACTTGAAGTCGGTGGAAGCTAAGGGACCCTTCTCAGAGCGGAGGCCGGAACCGGAGGTGAGAAATGTCGGTACTTGAGTTGGCTGCTTTGCATCTACCCAGCGTCTAGAACCAATTCCAGCTTCATAACTCAGCTGTGAAGAACTCCTTAGGCATTTGGTAGCCATGTAGCCAGTAGTTCAAAAATAGGAAACCCTGGAAAGAAAACAAACGCAAGCGAGTGTGGATGGGGACACTGGGTAAACGTGGAGCTAACCCAGCACAGCCCATCCACAGACACACACTGGTACACACGCAACACATGACTGATTTTCAAATAAGCAACAAGCTGCAGCGGTTGTGAGTGTGCTACACGCCAGGGATCACACTCACTCAGACCCACGCCACGTCGGACCACGAAGGCTCCGTTCACGCATCAGTCACTAAGGGAGTGAGGGCTCAAAGGGACGCCTGGCCCTACAGCTCATCCTCTTTCAGGGCTCCTGCTAAAAAGGATGCCTATCACAAAGACGCCAATGTCAGATTTACACTTAGCATCATCTTTTATGGCATCCAGAACCTACACGGGCCTGTCACCGCCCTCCTGAAGGCACTGTCTGTCACCGGGAAACAAAATATGCAAAGCTAGTAAATAAGACAAGGGTTCTAAGTAGAATGCTAATCATGAGAAACCACTTCTGTGTGAAATAAATCATTAATAAAAGGACAACAGTGTAGAGGAAAAGACTACTAAATGGTTCTTATTGTTTGACCATGATTTTGAGTCAAGTACACATTTCAATCATAACCTTTACGTTCATCCACGTATATAAATGATATATGCACCCACCCACACCCCCCAAAGCAGAATATTCATGAAACAAGGCTTATCATTAGCGTGTACAATGCAGGCTGACATTTCCTATTCAAAATTTTGTCAAAGTCAAATTCCATTCAAATGATTTCACAATCACTACTGCGTCACAACCTTTCCAAACACTGCACTAAACTATTGGTTAGAAGATCTAAAAGTCTCCTTTAGGTCTAAAATTCTATTGGGGAAGAGAGAGAGAGAGGGATGGAGAGGGAGAGGGAGAGGGAGAGGGAGAGGAAGAGGGAGAGGGAGAGGGAGAGGGAGAGGGAGAGGTACATGTACATGGAGAGAAGGAGAGAGAGGGGAGAGAATGTTAGAGTTAGTGTGGTTTTTTTAGCTTTTCTTTTTTAAAGGGAACTTTCCTAAAATGTTGTCAATTTTCATAAAGACCAAGAATTCAAATAAGTTTTCTCAATGAATTCAAGATTCATTTGCCACTCTCTCCCCACGAAGATATTTAGGAGTCCCTGGATTCATTTTACAGGAACTGGGGGAGTATAAACAACTGAACTCCTCTGGAGGGCAACACGACTGTGCGTCCCCGAAGTCTATAAATGCCACACCTTCTAATCCAGACACTCTAGACATTTCTAGAATTACATCCAAAGGTAACGAAGGGATGGGCAAAGATTAAGTCCCCCAAAAATCAGTAATGTGTTTTATTTTATAATGGCTAAAAGCTAAAAGGGTGGGGGTGGGGAACAGGACATATCCAGATAATCAAATATTATTTTGCCATTACGAATGATATAATTCAGGCATGCCATAACTTCACAACAAAGAGAAAAACAGCATTTAAAGACATGTGCAGTATGTACACAGAGGAGTTAACAATGGTGAACCATGAGTAGGGTTTTATTTTCATCTTTTGGTTTACCTGTTTTTTAATTTCTTAAATGATCTTATATTGTCTTATTATAAGAGAAACGAGAGCTATTGCCTCTTTAGCTCTTACGAGTTAGTGATTTTTAAAAATGACTCGGCAAATAAATCTATTGCTAGCTTTCCTGACATAGAAACACTCTTACCTAATGTTTTAGGGGTGAATATTTTACTGCAAGGTTAAATCATCATTAGGGTAGTGTTTCTTATTATGCATAAATCTTACAGTATCACATGGTAATAATTTTTTTCATGTTACAATAAGTGAAAAGAATTTGGAAAAGAGCAATAAAAACCATGAAGTTGACTGCCAAGGTTGTCAAAAGTAATTCACTTTGAAGAGACAAACACATTTGAGGTTTCGTTGCTTGTGCTGCTCAGAAAGCAGATAAGATTTTTCCATTGACTTGTAATTGTGGATCATAACCAGGCGGCTGCTTAGTCCCTAGAAGGGCTGGGAGGAGGGCCTGGACGCAGTGCCACCAGTTTCCGTCAGCCTGGCCGATGAGAGGCAGACACTGCTGACCATTACTCATCCCTCAACCAAAGGAATCCGGTTCAGGACCCTTTCACGTGAGATGTAAAAGTTGTCCAACTTATGAATGTTTACTATGTTCTAGATCAATTAAATATGCCAGGTGGGGGTGAAGGGTATGAGAGGACATACTAGGAGTGTCTTGAATTTTATCATGTGCCTCTTGAAACACATATCTAAGATACAACACAGGTGCCCTGAGGCTATTCTATGACACCCGTCCTCGCCTGCGTCTATCCACTGCAGAAGCTCAGCTACAGCTACTGCTGACCAGGTTCTATTTCACGTGGGAAAACCAGCAGAGGTTGGCTGCCACTGACGCGGTGTCCGGAGGGGAATGCACAGCTGACAGAGGAAAAATTAAGAACGGAGTAAGTCTAACAACATGTGCAAGACTTGCACAGAAAACAAACTGCAAAGCACTGCTTAAGGAAACTGAAGAAAACCTAAATAATAGAGCTATACCATGTTATAGGCTGGAAGACTCAATAAAGTGTTAAGATGAAAATTCTCCCCCAAAATGATCTTTAGAGTCAATGCAGTCCTAATCATCACCCAGCAGCCATTTTCATAGGATTTGACAATCCAATTCAAAATGGAATGTGAAACCCTAAAGGACCTAGAAGTTAAAACAGTGGGTTTTTTTTAAGTTGGAAGATTTATTACATAATGTGGTATTGGCAAAAGGAGAGCCACACAGCCACACAAGAGAAAAGAGTCCAGAAACAGGAGTACAAGTCAGTGGTCACCTGATTTTGGGACCCAGGTGCCAAAGCAATTCAATGGGAAGGGGAACGTCTTTACTCAGATAGCGCGGGGACAGCTAGCTAACCGCATAAAAACAAGAACCACCACCTCACCTCACACCACACACCCATGTTAACGCTAACTGGGATAGACCTAAATGTAAAAGCTAAATATAAAACTACACCAGTCCAAAAACAGTCACTAGCTACATGTAACTATTTAAATATGAGTTTAAATAAAGTACAATTAAACATAAATAAAAATCCAATTAAAATATAATTTAAAATTCCGTTCCCAAGTCGTCCTGGCCACATGTCGAGAGCTGTGGCTAGTGAGAGAGCAGGCCCGCGGGGCTAAGTCTGGGTAAGGTCAGGACACAGGGAACTCTCTGGGGTCACAGGTATGTCTCTATCTTGACTGTGGAGGCAGCTGCAGAAATGCACACATTTGTAAAAACGTGTCAAACAGTCCAGTCCATTTTACAGAGATCACCCCTCAGCAAACTTGATTAAAAACCCACGAGAGGCCGAGCAGAGGTGGAAGGGCCGGGCGGAGGGATGTGCACACCTGGCACCTGTCTGGGTGAGGGAGACGCAGATGTAGTGGCTGGCGGTGCCAGTTTGGACAGTTTGTTCCGACTGCTTACTGAGTTTTGTCTTCGTTTGCTGAAGCGACTACCTGCACTCACTGGCATTTCACCTTGGTTCCTATCACTGAGAAAGGAACCAGGCCACACAATTCTCTCCCTTCCCCTGCAACGCCCACCCCGCCCCCCGCAACCCCGCCCCACGGTGATTCCGATCAGCAGCATTACCTGGAGAAGCACTCACCTGAAACGGGTAAAGTGCAGACTGTTATCTGGAGATGTAAGTGTATGTTCTGGAGGGAGAACGGGTCTCATTCTGGGCACTGGGAGGCACATTTAAGAAATCCCAAATCAGAATAGTGTCATCGTGAGAGCTGCTGATGATCTGAAATTCATCAAACTGTAGCCGAAACACACGACCAGAATGCTCCTGTGAAAGAGAACACTGGGTGAGGAGGGTGAGGCCTTCCCGTCCCTCAGAACCCCAGCAGGCACAGGTGGGGAGGCAGCTCCGTGTCCAGGCTCCTAACAAGTCCCCGAGCCCACGGAGTGCTGTCCTCGCCCTCGGCGCCCTCACTGCTTCCCCTTCTTGGCCTTTCCTTTGACCAGACTCTGTATCCCAGGTCCCCGCCCATTAGGACATCAGTGATCGTGCACAGAGGGTCTTAGAAGGTCAGGAAGGTGAGCGGTAATGTGCAATGCCCGTTCTTGAACATGGTGCGAACTAGGACCAGGAGAGTGGTGTGAACGGGACCGGAACTACTCAAACCACAGCCAGCGTCAGAGCTGATGGTGAACTAGGAGCAGCATTCCCGTGAAAACCAAGATGAGAACGGCCCTCCTCCAGCTCTGCATGTTCCAGTCAGTGCCCGGGGGGAAGATACAAAAATAAAAGGGAGAACTATTGAAAATAGGGGAAATATCAGTATTTTCAAGCAACTGCCTCTCAAAAAATACAACAAAGGTGAGCAGACTATGAGAAATAATGTGCTTGGTAAAGCTGCAAAAGTAAGATTAACATATAAAAATAAAGTACTCCTGTATGTCAAAGCAATAATCCATAGAACGTAGACTGAGGGGAATTCCATCACAACAGTACAAAAATGTGCTGTCTGAAAAGGGTAACATAACCAAGGACCCACATGAACACCTCCCACACCTCAGGTAGGAACCAGGTTTTGCTCTGCGAGGAGATCAGTCCACCCATAAAGGAGGAACCTGCTTCACAGCGAGGGCCATAGGAAAGCTCCTTAGGGGAGGGCTCCGCTGCAATGGGAAGGTCAATGTCAAAGTCTCTGATGTGGGCCAGACCAATGAACAGAAGGGCGCCTTTCTCTGAAGACACAGCTTCCTGGTGCTACCCAGGCGGCTTCTGTGCAGGCGGCCAGCCCCAGCTCAGGGAACCACTTCCCGTGTCGGCAGGTCACATACCACCAAGGTGCGCAAACACAGCGTGCTTGCTGGGGCTCGCGGGTCGAGAGCGGCTTGCAAGTCCCAAACTTTAATTTTCCTGGAAAGGACAATGAGATTGCGATGAGCGAAAAAGCGAACATTTTAAATACTGTCAAGCGTTTCCTCGATAGCGGAGTGCCTTTGAATTGCCCACTGGGAACGTTAATGGGGAGCATGCTTATGTCCTTACAAGTTATTTAAGCCACCACACAGTCCCAGACTTGCGGGAATGGCACGGAAGTATTTTTAAGGGAGACAAGAAACAACTTCCAGTTATCTCCATTCAGCCCCTGACTCGATCCTCTGTGTCAACAAAGGCATTCACCAGGGCCCTCCGGGCTGAGCCGGTGCTGCTGCGGATGGAGCTGGGGCTGTGACATTCCAAGGATGCCTTTCTGCCAACGAGGCCAATGCTCCCAGTTAATGACAGGAGTGTGAACAGACCACCTGACCCGCTTGTGAAGTATATAGCAGGTCATCTTGAAAGGTTTACAGTTGCCATTTGCTCATTTAAAAAGTCGTGAAGCTTTTAAAAGAGGATCTGTTCAACTCACCAAAAGGGCAAAAGAAATGTACCCCCGAACTGGGGGGAGGGGAGGAGAGGGGACCCCACGCCTGGTGTAAGGGCTAAGAACGGAATTCCTGCACAACCTAAGCTACTCCTGGCCTCACGTGACCAAGTGGTGTAATAACAGCTGCCACCCTCCGTACACAGAACCTGCCCCGCCCAGGACCTGCACACACAGCTGCGTGAGGGGCAGCCCTATTCCCTCCTGCCGCAGGCACAGCAGAGCATTGCAATGTGAAGTACCCACCCGTCATAGGCCCCGCTGACAATCCTCTTGTTGTCGAACCGGATGCACCGCACCAGCTCTTCATGTCCCTCTAGGACTCTTAAGCAGGCGCCACATTCAATGTCCCATAGCCTTGAAGGAAAAGAGCTCCGTGAAACCCTCGCACGTGACCACACCGCCCGCACGGTCTTCGTATCTGTCCACGTATGACTTCCCTCCTCTGGAATTCTTATTTCTATCTCACTCCCAGCCCACACTACACATTAATGTACACTTAGGCCATTGGTGTGTTTTTAAGCACTAACTTGGGAGGAAGCCTTACTTTTCATTATATTTCCTTTTACACAGTTTGAAACTTTTAAAATCACATGCATATGTTACTAAACAAATAAGAGAATTCCACCACAGGCACTCCCAGCCCGGTGGTCTCCGTCCCCCGACGAGGCTCAGGGACCCCGTCTCGGTATGCACTGCATCCTGGGGCTGCCCAGATTCAAGGTCAAAGTGGGAGACTCGAGCTACATGCAGTGCCTTGGAAATACAAACCCAGTACATAAATATACACAGTTAGCCTTTTTTCTGTATATAAATCAGGTAACAGCTCTGGAAATAAAATCTGTTTCTATGATCATTGATTTTTCTGCATTATTTGCAAAAAGAAATCACAGCAACGGAACACACACAAAACAAAGGTACAAATAAATTCTGTAATGAACTTCTAGTGAACATTTCACCACAGCCACCCTCAGCCAACCTCTCCATCAGTGTCAGTGACGATGGCTTCTTGAACCTACTGTGAGCACTGCCACCAAGTCCAAAGTGGTTCCCTCCTGGGAGCTGTAGTGCAATACACATGCTATTTTGTAAAACCTCAGAGATTCCAATGAGGACGCTAAGGATTGTTTATTGCTGAAATGCTACTAGAAAGCACCATTAATACAACAGGACCGAGACTCAAGTACTGAAGTGACTTTTATGACATCTTACAGCTTAAAAGAAGACGTAGAGCAGCCCTGGCCCGTGTGGCTCCGCTGCTTGGGCTTTGTCCAGTGCACTAAGAGGTGGCCAGGTTGGTTCCTGGTCAGGGTACAGGCCGGGTTGCAGGCTCAGTCCCCAGTAGGCCGCATGCAGGAGACATGTTCTGCTCTCACATTGATGTCTCTCTCTCTCTCTCTCTCTCTCCCCACCACCCCCACCCTTCCCTTCCTCTTTCTGTAAAAATCAATTTTTAAAAAATCTTTTTAAAAAAACCTGATAGCAGTTAGAGCCCCACCCTTTCTCCCTTCCCTCCCTTTCTCAAATAATCGAGCCCAACCTTTATTTTGCCCAAACATTAGATAATTTCACACACACATTGCTATAGCATACACTGGGGCGGGGGAATGACTTGGGATACTTAAATAGATATTTAAGACAAGCTCTAATAAGATATGAAGGATGGGTCAGATTTATTAGAAAGCAAGGACACTGAGTGTTGGGAAGAAAAAAGGAAATGAAACAGATGACCAAACAGGAGTGGGTGATTCTGTATCGCCGTCCTGGGACAGCCAAGAAGGTACCGCCCACGAGTGGGGAGGGAGGCAGGCGCTGAGGCAGGGCAAGCGGAGCCAGGCTGGCAGCACACGCTCTGTCTGAGTGTCCTGGTGTTAGGTGATCTTGTGGAGCTAAGGTCACAAAGCCCTGTGCAGCGGGGGAATCTTGGGAAAAGACAGGTGACCCACGTCAGTGAGAGAGCCAAACAGATGAATAAAAAGTTAAAGTTTTCTTATCTAAAGCATCCCAAAGCCTCTGCGTCTTTGGAGCTTTCGGAGTGGGAGATGAGTGAACACTATGGCAGGAACCACCCCGCCCGCCCTGTTGGCACCGAGCTTCTACCCACCTGATGGTATTATCTGATGATCCACTAACAACCAGCCGGTCCCTGTACTGGAGACAGGCAATGCCTCGCTTGTGCCCATTCAGAGTACGAACAAATTCACAGGTACTCGTACTCCAGACCTGTAACAAATTAGCAACAGAATGAGTACAGAAAAGTCCCTGCACAATATACCTTTCTCAGAAAGTGAGGGCTCCAGGAAGGATCAAAATACTTGACTATGAGACAGCGCTGGGAGTGGGGGGCCAGATTAGACAGAATCAAGCTTTCTTGGCTGCTGAGTGATAAAACTGGAATGAAATACAAAGGGAGGCGGTGAGGTCTCCAAGCCTTGAGATCTTTGCAAAGAGACCATCTCCTGGAGGGTTCAGACACTCAGCTGCCCAGAGGGAAGAGCCCGGGCCAGATTTTACGGTTTATACCAGCTGACATGTCAAACCCAATGTAACAGATCTGAACAAGCTCCACCTTCCACACCCTCCTCTTCTCGGCGTAGTTTCTTGAACAGCTCCATTTGTTTCGACACATCACTCCTAATATTATGAATGTGGAATGAATAATCCCCCTTTTGTGAAACCATCTGCAAGACTTAGATGTCCATAGCCACACATTACCAGCCAAATAAGGAGACACAAAGCGAACACAGTGCCTGAATTATTTTACCAGCTGCACTTGTAGTTGAATGGGTTAACTAGATATCCACGTGCAAAGAATGAAGTTGAATCCCTACCTCACACTATATATAAAAATTTAATTCAAAATGGATCAAAGACCAAAATGTAAGGACTCAAACTATAAAGCTCTTAGAAGAAAACACAGGAGTAAATCTCTGTGACACTGGATTAGGCAATGGTTTCTTAGATGTAACAACACAAGCAACAAAAGAAAAAAATTGATAAAATGCACTTCATCAAAATTAAAATAGTTCTATGTTTCAAAAACAACTATCGAGAAAGTAAAACCCCCTGACCGGTTTTGGCTCAGTGGATAGAGCGCCGGCCTGCGGACTGAAGGGTCCCGGGTTCGATGCCGGTCAAGGGCATGTACCTTGGTTGCAGGCACATCCCCAAGAGGGGGTGTGCAGGACGCAGCTGATCAATGTATCTCTCTCATGGATGTGTGTATCTCTCTATCCCTCTCCCTTCCTCTCTGTAAAAAATCAATAAAATATATTTTTTAAAAAAAGAAAGTAAAACCATTTAAAAAAGGAAAGTGAAAACACAACCCACAAGATTAAATAAAATATTTGCAAATATTTATCTAAGGACCTTACTATCAGAGCATATAAAGAACTACTGCAACTAAACAATAGAAAGACAAATAATCCAATTTGTTAAATGAACAAAAGATTTAAATAGATGTTTCTCCAAAGACATAAAAATGGCCAACAAGCACATGAAAAGATGTTCAACCTCATTAGGCATTAGGGAAATGGAAAACAAAATTAATAGAGATACCACCACACACCTACTAGGACAGTGGTTCTCAACCTTCTGGCCCTTTAAATACAGTTCCTCATGTTGTGACCCAACCATAAAATTATTTTCGTTGCTACTTCATAACTGTAATGTTGCTACTGTTATGAATCGTAATGTAAATATCTGATATGCAGGATGGTCTTCGGGGACCCCTGTGACAGGGTCGTTCGACCGCCAAAGGGGTCACGACCCACAGGTTGAGAACCGCTGCTCTAGGATAACTGTAATAAAAAGACAGACAATACCAAATGTTGACCCGATATGGAGAATTCCTCCAGGCTGCTATTATGCAAGCGCTGATTAAGGCCCAGGCCCTCTTGACTTCCAGGCACTGGTCTTGTACCAACGGTGTGGCTGAGCAGTGAGTGAATTACCTCATACAAATCCTAGCTGTTCACACAATCTAATGTATGATGTGACCTAGGCTGTGATCTGTGGGGTGACACATACTAGAATGCTGTTTAGTGCAGGTCATAAAAAGAAGGGGTTTTTTTGTTTGTTTGGTTTTTAGCCAATTTTAAATATTCATATATTGCTGGTGAGATTGTAAACTGGTGTAGCCATTTTGGAAAACCGTTTGGCAAAACTTCAACACAGAGTTATCATCCCAAGAGAATTGAAAATATATGTCTGCACAAATGTTTATGGCAGCATTATTCGTAATAGATAATGTATAAACAGCAAAATGCCCATCTACTGATGAATGGATAAACAAAATGTGGCACATCCATCCAATGAAATTCTATTCAGTCATTAGAAGAAATGAACTACTGTTAAATGAACAATGTCTATGGGTGGACCTTGATAGCAATACACTAAGTGAAAGAAGCCAGACACAAAAGGCCCCATATTGTATGATTCCATTTGTAAGAAATGCCCAGACGGCAAATCCATTGGCGGAAAGTAGACTCGCGGCGGCCAGGGACGAGGGAAGGAAAGAGGGGTTGACCGCTAATGGGTCTGAGCTCTTTTGGAGGCGACTGAAAATGTCCCGGAACTAGTTATGGTTACACAACACTGTAAATATACTGCAGGCCACTGAACTGTGTGCTTTGAAATTATGAATCCCATGGTATGTGAACTATTTTAATAAAGTTGTTATAAAAACGTAAGAAAGCTAGATTTTTAAAAATTAAATGGATATCGATCCTGTGGGTCACCCTAGACTACAGCAACTGCTTGTCACATGTCTGCTGCCCGCATGCCGAGCTTTCTGAAGACAGGGACATGTGTTGTTCCCATCACATCTCTAGCAGCTGGCCCCGGGTCGGCGGCATGACAGGGTTGGCTCTCACAATCAGGTGACTGAATCCAATCTCAGCTCTGCCGCTAGCCAGCTGCGTGGTCTCCGGTGTAGTTCTTCACTCACTGAGCCACATCCGTACAATGGAGGCGAAACCTCCTCAACAGTGTGCCAGGAGGACGACACGAGGTGGTGACGTACAAGCTCCGAGCACATGGGACATGTTCAATAGATTAGTTCTTGTCCCCTTATAAAGGCCACCGGCAAAGTCACTTCATGAAATAGAGGACTGCTCTTTCCTGGTCCCATGACCCTTTCCTCCTCGCGTCCTGTAACTAAAGGAGCATGGAGAATGGGGTGGCTTCAGGGGCTGCTAAGCGCAATGGAGAATAAAGATCTTGAGAAGTACCAGCTGGGGTAGCCACTCCTGCTCTCTCCATTCTGAGAGACAGAAGGAAGCGGATACACTTACTTTGATGGTTCTGTCACCAGAGGCAGACACGATGTACTTATCATCAAAGTCCACTACGTTGACAGCAGCGCGGTGGCCAACCAGGACCCGGCGCAGAGTGATGTCGGTGGCAGAAGCCATGTCCCACACCGCGATGGAGCGGTCCTTGGAGCAGGTCACCATCAGTCCGTTGCTGAAGCGTAAGTGCAGGACAGCCTCATTGTGGTGGATCAACGTGTTCAGAACCTCGCCCGTGTTCACATCCCAGACTCTAGATGAGAACAGAAAGCACAAAGCTTACCTACGGAGACAACCGGGAGAGCGCATGGCACCCGCGCTCTGGGCCCATTCTTTTAGCAGGCTGGGAGTGTGGACTCGACTTGTATTTGGTGACTGGGACCTGACACCTAAGTACCAGCTAAAAGGAGCAATTTCTCTGTTTGCTGAGAAGTGTTTCAGAAAAAAGCGGCCAAGTCTGGCTCGGCTCAGGTGTAGGTTTATGTCACAGTCGGGTGTTTATGGATTGTGCCTGCAGGTCTGTACTGATGGTAAAAAAAATGACTCTTCAAATAAGTAGGCATTGCAGTGAGTCTGAGGTGACGGGGAAGGGGCTTGGTGGATGGAGAACTGAGGACAGTTAAGGTTCTTTTTGACCTTTGAGAGGCCTTGAACCTAATGACTGTAAGTCATGGAGTCTCATCAATCCCACAACCATCTATTCACCCCAGTGGCTTTATGGACAAAGCCAGTGTCTCCCAGTTGGTTCACCCTTGAGATATGGGGTGCTTAGGGGCAGCCCTTTCACATCATAGCTTTTCTGTAGCCACGGTCTCCCAAGAGGTCAAGCTGATGCAGAGCAGGAGGAAAAACTCGGGCTTCTCGGGCTGAAACGTGACCTACAGCAGAAACAGGGGCCTGGAAGCACGGGCCAGGGAGAGGACACTGGGCATCGGGTGACTGCTCCAGTGCCTTGGGTGTCTCTGGGGCACATCCTCTTCCAGTCTCTGACTCGAAGTTGCTGGGTGAGAGATGGTGTGGGATGGATGAGACGTCACGACTTTCAGTCCGTAGGAGAGCTGTGCCCTCCCCTCAGAGGGCGTGCTTCCCCAGCCACCAGCCGCAGCCAGGGCTTCACCCTGATGAGCCCTCCCCACCCCCAGCCCACAGCCACTGGGTGTGGAAAGGTCCCTGTCCCAGTGGTTTAGGAGTGGATCCCAACACGTTTCCTTTCTACTCTCCCAACTTCCAACCAGCAATCACCACTTCCCTTCTGAGAGGAAGCACTGCCATTAACCAGCCTCGTCACTCTGCCCCGGGGGTGGCATCTGAAAACAAGTGTTGCCATTACTGGAAAGTCTACGCAATATGAAGACAGTCTTAAATGATATAAATTCAAAGTTCAGATTAACTATGTGACTCTGAGCAAATTGCTTAACCTCTCTGATCTGTTTCCTTGTACATCTACAAATAAAGAAGACAGTATCTACCTACTAGAAAGGTTGATGTGAGAATTCAATAGGATGAGAGTCCACAAAACACTAGCACTCTCTGTGGCCCTGGAAAGGTTCCGCGAACAGCTGTTGCTGATTCTTTCACTTTGTAGGCTGTTCCCACAGCCCCTCGGGGAGCCCCTGCCTCCTCTCTGCTCTGGAGCACGGCTCCAGGGGGAGTCGGCCTGCAGCAGACAGTGTGCTCTGTAGGAAAGCATGGTGCCATCTCTATACTATGTGGCAACGGGACAGGACCTACTTCCCAAAATGCAGCTACACCCACACCCGAAGTGGTCCTGAACTACAGCACACGGAGCAACGGAGAGGAGGTGCGGCTCTGTCTGCTCCTGGGGGGAGCTCAAGTTCAGACCGCCAAGCCACGCACTCACCTCACTGTGGAGTCCGAGGAGCCGGTCACAATGACACGTTCATCGTACTGCAGACAGAGGACGGAGCCCGTGTGCCCCGTCAACACTTTCAAACATTCCAGGCTGGTTTTGTCCCAAATCTATTGAGATAAGACCAGATCAGTGTTTCTGTCTCACCTTATTTCTTGAATCATAAAATAAAACAAACCTGTTACAGCAAATAAGGGAGTTAACCATCAAACAGGTGGGGCATGCAGGAGGGAA